CTCGGTGATAAAGCTTTAGATTTAGACCAACGAAAATCTAAAAAAGAAATAACTAACGAACACGAGCGGGCTTTATAATGTTCAAATATTTTCACATTGCAGCAAATTTAATTCAACTGACACCAATGATGTACGGTCAGCAAAATGAATCCTCTCAATCAATGGATCTAGAATGTCGAGGTCCGCCGCTGGTAGTCGTATATTAGAGACGTACAAATCCGTCTGTGCCATTTATATCCCGCATCAGATCCAGCAACATGCCCATTGATCACACGGAGACTGACCAGGCTGATTTGCTTAGCATTTCTCGCTTCAGGGCTCAACTGATCTACATTAAATATAAAGACAATGTTTATCACTTTATCGTTTGAAAGTAATAGGACTTAATGGAGGAATAAATTATTAACCCTTTTACTCGGTAACGTTTTCTCTTGTTGTATGATGTAAGTACTAGCTGATTTACTGCGACTTCGTCCACGTAAATTATAGCATTATTATTACACGCGGGTGTTGTAACTTTCCGTTAAGTGAAAGAATTTGATGATCAGATCACTATTTCTGAAGATGACCCCTCAAAAGAAAGTTAGAAACTTTAAGCATTTATAATATTGGTCGGTGTATGTCGGTGGTTTTTTATTTGTCAAAAGAAGGGCAGAAAAAAATCGAATATGTATGGAAGCAGTGAGAGAAGAACATCCATACAAAATGGTGAAACTCTAAATAAGGATCTTGGGTACTGCATTTATGCCGATCGATGTTATTAAACAGAAATACTGGTGTTAGAGGACCGTAGCAAGTGGAGAAAATTGTATGTGTCTGCCCCTCTGCAAAATAGATAAAAAATATTGTTGTATCTATGTTTATTGATTGAGGGCTGTGAAAATCAGCAAACTTCCCAAGATCTTACATTTATTTGTTGCAACCCTAGTGTACAATGAGTAATGGTCGGCATCGCTTACTCGACGTAAAACATAGCTCTAGTGGATATTTCTAACGTCGCAGGTCGGCCGAGCAGTAATATAGCTAAATACGTCTTTAAATCTTAAGAATAAAGTTACTTTAACCTGACCTTACACAACACTCTTGAATACATGTGTTACCGCACAACATTTAAAAATTTTAGGCTAACTATTTCAGGTAATGAATGACGTAATGATTGGTGCAACGTTTTTATTGGGTATTCGTCTCAACTCCAACATTTGTCAAGTTGAACTTATATTATTATTATTGGCCGGGAAAATAGTCTTGTCAGTCAATCTAATCTATAAACTTACAGTAAAATATGAGAATCTTTTACCGTAGATAATAATTATTTTTTATTTTTATTATCTCGTTGGTTTGGGTATCTTTAAGATTATATTTAAAATATTATACCAATTAATTAAACGTTCTTTTTTTCAGCTTTAAAGCTACGAGTAGGTACAGGATTCGATCTCTTTGTATTTCGCAACTAAATAGTAAGTTCAAAGGTCACACTGACCCCGATTCTTGTACAGTTTATTTTTTTATATTTCTCTAGGATCGTTTGAGATGCTGTTTGATTGGTTGTACCTACCGCAATAAAAATTTTAATTAGATAAGAAATTTTTATTCTTTATACTTGTATAATGTTTTCGTATTATAAAAAGAAATATCAACATATTAATTTGTTTAATGCAAAGACAATACCTATCTGAATTATATTTCATCATCATCATCATGAGCCCTTTTACGTCCCCACTGCAGGGGCTCAGGCCTTCCTTATGGATGGCTAAGGAGTATGGGCCATGACCCTCCACGCCGGCCCAATGCGGATTGGAGGGTATTGACGACTGCAAATGCAGTCGGGACCAACGGCTTAAAGTGCCTTCCGAAGCACGGAGTAACTCGAGATAATAATTTTTTGGTCACCCATCCCGTAACCGACCCTTGCGAAAGTTGCTTAACGACAACGACCGCGGGCCGCGGCGCTTATCCACTCCACCACCGAATTATATTTCGGTTATTATTAATAGCGTTAAAATAGTGGTACACATCTATCAATAGCTACTTTCCGTGTCGTTTGCAACGACCTTAAAATAAAGTATCCAGCGAATTTAACGTGACTAGTTCACAAGCATTTTCAAGAAAACCTTATCAGCAAGTGGCGATTCTTACGATTCATATAATCGATTTTACAAGGGAATGCCATTAAGCTCTTGCCTCTCGATGCCTTCGCTCGATGTAATGAGAGGTTTTTTAAGAAAAAACGATGTTGTTTATAGTAATGATACAGGCTTTTATTGGTGGACGGTCAATTTATTATCTGTTATGTTTAATACTGTCGTTCTAGTTGCAAATGGTGTTTAAATAGTAACTTGTATGTCGTATACTACGAATTATAACTTTTTTTATTTGTCTTTTAATTGAGAATAAGGAAAATGTAATCTCTTATCTCTTTAAAGTGAGGTTCCACTATTTGGGGTCAGTTGTAAATTCATCTGTTTGGTTACAAACGATTTTAATTGAAGATTATTTCCAAATAAAAAGTTCATAACAAACAATGCGCTTTAACACTGGCCATAATGAATTTAAATCTAAATAAATCTATAACTCGAGAACTGTTAAAGCAATCAGACTATTCAGAAAAGTACACGCGCGAATGTTAAGAAGAGAATTAGCTACTTACTATAAGGCAAATTAAAAGCACCTTACCTCAAGTTGGCGCCGTATACTGTTGTGTTAAGCAGCTGTCCGCTGTCCGCTGTGACACCGGACAATACGGACACAGGTGACATTATAAATCAACATCGACGTTAACTTCATAAACAACTTCAACGATCGACGTGTCAAAGTTAACTGTAGAATGATAAAAAAATAATGTCAAAAACCGTGGGATAGCGTCGCAATAAGCCTTCACGTTGACAAACACGTATTCAATTATTTATAATGTGGAAATTTTGGAAGTGGCGCTTATAATATGGAGCCTCTGAAACTAATTTCCAAATGATTACGTTTTTGAAAGCTACGAGTATTTTAAATCAACAGAAATTATACTAAATTAGGTATAACAAAAAAGAGTCATGGTACTTAAGTCGTTAAATGCGCATCTAATATTTTTCTATTATATTACTGACGGACTAAATTGAATTTATTTTTTACCCACTCAGCATCCCTATTACTATTTGATGTTTTTAATTTGTTTGTTAAAGATATTATATTACGAATAATTCCATGTTATGATCCATTTACAATTAACACACTAAGTATGCTATTCATAACACTTGGTTGTTGAGATTCATTAAGGCGATAAAGTTAACCGCAGTGGGTCAGGCAGTCGGTCACTGCGCGATCCAAACTATTTTCTGCACACGGAAGCTGTCGTATTCGACACGTTCCACGGAACAAATCTAAATAATATGCACGAGATAGACAGACAGACCATTAAGCTAACGTAAATATAAACAAACTAGCGAAACACGAATTAGCGTACAGCATTGTTACAACAATAAAGACTGATTAACAATTATAGAAGTCATACTAATAAGTCACTAGCCGCTGAGCGCGCGCCTCCGCGGCCACCGCCGCTCCTGCGCTGCAGATAAAAAAGTACTTATGTTAGTATTTTTGAATGTGATTAAATTTAGAACAAAAAGCAAAACTACAAATAACTTTTTAATACGCAATTATTAATATTAATCTATTATTTGTAACAATATTAATAAAATACAATAAGTAATAATCATTTCCACTGTTTACGAATACAAATACATGAATATATGTGATTGTGGAAATTACGTATTTTAAATAGTAACATTTCGTACAATTATATTCTCAAGTCAATACTACGCTTATTAATTACAGGCACGTCATTTTACAAGTAATCCTTATTAATCAAAGTAAAAAGTATAACTATAATCATATTAGGCTTACACAAGTAAATAAATATATATAGCCAGTGTCACTCGCAATGATGTAACGTTTCTAATGAAACTTATACCATATCCGTTAAGTATTTCTAAGGGTACGGTGCAATAAAGAAACTCACATACATACATTTGTTAATAACCCTAAAAACAATACATTCCTTTTTTGATGTAATCGTGTAAAAATACAAAAATGTAACAGCTAAGTACATAATTAATATTGATAAATAAGAAAGTTGAAAATGTCATACCGAGTTCGGAATAAAAACTCTTAATGATAAAAGGAAATAAAGAGAAAGTGAGATAAAATCAGTCCATAAAGCAGGTCATGTGGTTATTTAGCAACGATATTTGTATTTTTATGAACTAAATTTTAAGACTAAAAGCAAAGTACATATAAAAAAATATCTTATTTTACTCGTTGATTTCTTAATTCTCCACTTCAATAATAAGTTGAGTTGATCTTTTGCAATCGTTTCGTTTCGTCGGGGTTCAGCATATGGCTAATTGGCACAGCAGTCAATAATCAATACCATTGATAAAAATACGCATTCTAATCAAGTTAAAGTTTCCTTATCTAGAAGAATTTTAGTCGTAACATAAGGTACATCAAACAGAATTAATAAGCGTTTGTTCGGTTAGTGTTCACTGCGTATTACCAATAAAATAAATAAATATTAGACATCTTCACACGCATTGGTCAGATTCCACGATGAACAGCTAAACTTCAGCATTATGGAGTATCAGAGACAACATATGTGCTACGACACCCAGACCCGAGAAAATAAATAAAAGTTCATTTGCTACATTGACCCAAGTCCTGGCTTGAGCCCCTTGAAACCGGCGTGCGTGCATCGTTATTTGTCATGGTTTAACTTACACAGCGCGACGGGTCGAATGATGACAAACAGACAATATTCTATGTTCTTCTATCGGATAAAATCCAGCATCGCGATGACGAGCGAGTGAGTGCTCGCTCGTCATCGTGGGCGGACGTGACAGCGCAAAGATGCACTAACTGTGCGATACGTGATGGCGACGTACACAATAAAATGTGCAAATTGTAATATCGTAATCAACGAACTGCTAGCCTTTATTCAAAATAAAGCGGATGTTATGGATGAAGAGTCCCTTGTTCGAATTTGCTGCGATTGTTTCTCTGAAGAGGATATAGTGGTGTCGAAACGGCTTTTATTTGAATCAGTGCCTACTGCAAAACGTGTAATTCGAAGAAATAAAGGAAAGAACGTGCGTGATATCGACGACATTATAAGTCTATTGAAGCAAACTGATCCTGAACTGGTGCCTACCTACCTACCTACAAAAATACAAAACACAAAAATTACCACCGGTAACCTTTGACCACGTCGATGTAACCAAATTGTTAAAGGACATCATTTTATTACAAGTACAAGTAAGGTCATTCCCTAAGGAGTATGTTACATCTAGCCAGCTTTTGGAGGTAAAAAATGAAATTGAAGCACTCAAGAAGGCATCCATTGTCAATGATTTTATAAACACACGGAGAGGAGCAACATATCGAAATGTTGAGGTGAATACTTTTGACAGTGGTCCAATGGCATTACAACAATCTATAGAAAATACACCTAGCCCTCAGATCATACAAAACAGTGAAAATATTTTTTCTCCAAATATTGAGGGTACTCCGACTTGTCATAATATTGGCTGCGTGACCGCGGAGCGGGTACCCATTTCTGTTACCGCACATTCACCGTTGCTACCAAGATACCGTATGCAAGGTCAAGATAGTGCCGTTTCTCTCGCACCTACAGATAAAATCGCGCGAATATCGACTACCTGTAAAACAGACCAGTCGATAATAAACAGGTCTCTTACGGAAAGGTCAAGCAGAAACAACTCAAGAGAAAACATTAGTAGCATAACACCTATCACAAAGAAAACTGCGGCTGAGACTTTACGTGATACTGTTGGTCAACGCAGTCAAAATATGAATGATGGTTGGAAAAAGGTTGAGTATAAAAAGCGAAAAAATAAATTAACAAATATCAAGATTGGAAAAGCTAACATCGAGCCGGACGGAAAGTTCAAGGCGGCGGACATCAAATTGCCTATTTTTATATCGAATGTGTCAAAGCACACGACCGAGGATGACATTTTAGAATACATAAAGAATAACACTAATGAAGAAGTGAGTCTATATAAAATCAATAGACAAACTGCAACAAATTATAATTCGTTTAAGTTGTATATACCTAAAAGCAAATTAAAGATATTTTTAAACGATGATCTCTGGCCAGATGGAGTTTCTTTTCGGCGGTTTGTACGTGATAAGTACAAAATAAAAGCCACTAAGCAAATATCTAATGAAACTTAATGGATAAGTGTAAGCTTATAAGTTTTAATTGCAAATCTGTGAAGCGTTCTATCGACGAGATTCGGACACTATGTCAATCGGCTGACATTGTAGCTCTTCAGGAAACATGGCTTCTACCAGAAGATTTACCGTTCTTGGGACAAATACACCATGATTTTGATTACACCGGGAAATCAGCCGTGGATACTTCCGTTGGTATACTGAGAGGGAGACCGTATGGCGGTGTTGCAATTTTGTGGCGTAAACATGTCTTTAAATCTATAAGTGTGATAGAGTGTGTTAGTTCGCGTCTTACTGCCATTAAAGTTAATCTAAGTGACTATTCAATAATAGTGTTCAGTATTTATATGCCTACAGATTCTGTTGAAAACCTAGTTGAATTCACACAATGTTTAGGTGAAATGAACTCAATTATCGATTCTAGTGAGTGTGGAGCTGTTTTTATGTTAGGTGACTATAATGCTCATCCGGGTGAGTCTTTTTACAATGAACTTATAGATTTTTGTGAAGAACAGGACTGGTTGTGTTCGGACACAATAAAATTAGGTATTGAATCTGGATGTTATACCTACATCAGTGAGGCGCACGGGTGTAGGCGGTGGCTAGACCATTGTGTTGTAACACAGTCTGCTTTTAACACTATCGCTAATGTTGATGTGATATATGATGTTTTTTGGTCTGATCATTTTCCCATTATCTTAACTTGTAACTTGAATATCATTAAATCGACGGTACGTCCAAACAATGCTAGTTATAGTAAAGTAATATGGGGTGAGAGGGATGTTGATCAGATTAAGGAATATTCTCAACTCTGTAATATTAAGCTACGGCAAATAGATTATCCTCAACATTTTGAGATGTGTGGTGATACACACTGTAAAAATTTGGAGCACTTGCGACCAATCGATGACATGTATATGAGTATTGTAAATGTTCTATCTGATGCAGCCAAGCAGACATATAATATTAGGCGTCGTTCAAATAAATATCGACAGATAACGGGCTGGAATAAATACGTACGAGAGGCTCACAGACAGGCCAGGCTTAAATATCAGATCTGGCTCTCCTATAATAAACCAACATCTGGACTCGTGTACAATGAAATGTCTTTAAGTCGTAAAATATTTAAAAGCAAACTGAAATGGTGTCAGAGACATCAGGAAAAAATAAAGTCAGACATTTTGGCATCTCATCATAAAAATAATAATTTTAAGAAATTTTGGATGGCCACCAACAAATTCAATATTAAGCCTGGCCTGCCAGTAAGTGTCGGGGGTGTTGATGAACCGGTGTCGATTGCAAACATGTTTGTAACTCATTTTAAGTCCGAATCGCCCTTAGGTGCGTCGCTGGGGATGATCGATGATGGGGCCTGTTGTGATACTGATCTCATTCGTTTCACTCCTAAGCAAGTGCGTGACGTGATAAAACGAATGTCAAAAGGTAAATCACCGGGTCACGACGGTCTCAGCATCGAGCATTTGCAGCACGCAGGTCCTCACTTGGCTAGGGTCTTGGCTATGTTGTTGTCTCTTTGCATGTGTCATTCCTACCTTCCCAGTGAACTCATGCGTACAGTAGTTGTACCTATTGTTAAAAACAAAACCGGAGATACGAGCGACAAAGGTAACTATAGACCCATCTCGCTGGCCACGATTATGGCCAAGGTACTGGATAGTTTGTTGGATTCTCGTCTTAATAAGTATTTACACATACATGATGCTCAGTTTGGCTTTCGGTCAGGACTTTCGACAGAGAATGCAATCCTAGCTTTAAAGCACACGGTGCATTATTATACCAAAAGAAGGACTCCTGTCTACGCCTGTTTTCTTGACCTGTCTCGTGCTTTTGACCTCGTATCTTACGATGTGCTGTGGACTAAGTTACGGGACATCGGTGTACCGGCGGAATTGTTGCGGATCTTACAATATTGGTACTATAATCAGGAGAATAATGTGAGATGGGGTAACGCGCTTTCAGACTCATTCAAGTTGGAGTGTGGGGTTAGGCAGGGTGGTATGTCCTCTCCTCAACTTTTTAATCTTTATATCAACGACCTGATCGTTGGGCTCAGCAGCATGAAATTGGGGTGTCGCATTGATGATGTAAGTGTTAATAATATCAGTTACGCTGATGATATGGTGTTGCTGAGCCCGACGGTGAGGGCGTTGAGAGAGCTTTTACTGATGTGTGAACGCTACGCGGTTACGCATGGTCTCATATACAATGTTAAAAAAAGCGAATATCTTGTGTTTGGGGCTGCCGGTAGTAAATGTCCATCCTATGTACCTAAAATTTGTCTGAATGGTACGGAACTCCAACGTGTATACCGATTTAAATATCTCGGACATTACGTGACCGATAGCCTTAGAGACGAGGTTGACATTGAGAGGGAGCGCAGGGCGTTGGCAGTGCGCTGTAACATGCTGGCTCGTAGATTCTCCCACTGTAGTATTCCAGTCAAATTAACACTTTTTCGAGCTTATTGTCAAGTGTTCTATACGAGCAGCATATGGACCAATTATAGTCAGCGCGCTCTTAATACACTGCGTATCCAGTATAACAATGCTTTTAGAGTACTGTTGGGGCTGTCTCGTTTCTGCAGTGCGTCAGGTATGTTTGCACAAATGCAGATAGATGATTTCTACTCTATCATGAGAAAGAAAAGTGCTTCGTTGCTCTTCAGAGTGCGTGACAGCTGCAATTCTATTCTTCAAGTCATAGGAGGACGATACGATTCTCCTATTGTAGTACATTGTGTCCGGAGATGTATTACTGGCACAAAATTAGTTTCTAAGTAATTGTAATCGATACTAACACTAGATTTTAAGTGTATTTTGTGTAAAACTAACAAAAAAAAAAATATGGATTCCCTAATGTTGTCCGAAATAAAAATTATTATTATTATTATTATTATTATTATAATAGATAGAGGTAGTCAAATAGATGGGATCATCATAAAGACCGAGCAAGCAATCGACTAGATGTCAGAGATAGGATAATATCCCTTAGTGAAATATAAAGTCCTTTATAAAGTGGGGGGAAGAGTTTCTTTCACTTAAAGATTAGAATGGATATTGATGAGAATATGTATATTGTCCACAGATCATACATCTGGCAGTGGAGGATCGTATGCTGTGCTGTATGCAGCGTGGCAGCTTGAGCAGCATGCGGCGTGGTGTGGGCGCGGGGGGCGCGGGTGGGCGCGTGCCGCGTGCGATGTGAACGATGCCGGGATGCCGGCCGCGGCCGGCGACTACACGCCTGCTGCTGTGCTCGTGGCTCGCGATACTCTGCCTCCAGTCAGTACCCAGGGTTTTCAAATACCCGACAATTTTAGATACCCGGGTCTCGGGTACATTTTTTTAAAATACCCGGGTATACCCGGGTACCCGGGTATTCTTGATTTTTTGTGAAACTGGGAAAAAAACTACAAAGATATCAAAAATCAACTTTTATTACGATAATTACCACTCAAATAATATAACCAGCCAACCAGGTACAAAAATAGTGCTAATTACTTAAGTTAAGAACTGTTAAATTAACATATTAAAGTAACAAATTCTTCAATCAGTTACACTTTTAGTAATGAATACAAACAATTATACATTGTTATAAATATTTATCAAGTTATATTAGTGTCTAATCTTCTCTGTATATTAAGTATTTATTTATCAAATAAAAACAAACGTACCACACTCTTGTAAAACTAAATAGATAAATTAAACATTTAACAGGAACTCGAAAAAAGCTTTCTATATCAGTTTTAGGTCTTTTTGGACATTGTTTTGAGTTCGTAATCGGATTTTCGTAAGATGATGTCATAGGAGCAGGTTCATTGATGGCCGTAGAAGTTTTTGAGATATTAATTTTGTGAACTTTGTCCAAGTGCTTCATTAAATTACTTGTAGACGAACCCTTATATGTCAATGTTTTCGGGCAAATAGAACATTGCACTAAATCTTTGTCTGATATTTTTTGAAGTATTTCCATACTTCGGATGAAGTAGATTTGTCCATTTTGTAAGCCTAAAAAACAATAAATACTTAAATAAATCAATAAAATCAATTCAGTAAGTACACTAATTAAACTTATCGTCCACCTAAGATATTGAGATATAAAATATAAGTTCTTGCTTAGCTAGTATAGTAGGTTGTTAAAACGACAAAAAGCTCAACAAATTTATAAAAACACGATTCTAGATGTACGCAAATGCAACAATAAGCATAAAAACAAAACCATAATAATTTTTAGGTTATAAAATTCACGCATTTACATTAACATCTATTTACAAACATAGGTACTTACCTAAACTCCAACCGTTATCGTTACTGCACATGTAAACTCCGAAAGAAGAAACTCAAACACAAGTTTTCAACTAAAACTACCTGCAATTCCAACAACTCAGCTATGTAACATAACCTCCTACTTGACCGCCGTACGACGCCGTCCGTACTAACCAATAAATTCTATCACTTAATTACGATTCTAAGCAACGTGACTTGTGATTGTTGATTGCGTTTTGTCTACCAACGCGCATATATCAAAATTACCCGAGACCCGGGTACGTCCGTTGTTTGTACCCGGGTACCCGAAGTATCAAATACCCGGGTATACCCGGACCCGGGTACCCGGGTAAAAAACCCTAGTACCTACCTCCGTTACACCTTCAGGCAACAACACCTGTGCACGATGCAGCACACTTCATGCACAACAAAGCGCACGATCATATGATACGGCCGACACATGCGCTCGTACAATAATCTTGGACTTGAGGTAGTTAGTACAATAGCAAGGCCAACAAATGCAAGTTGGCCTGGTGTATACTACACCTCTAAACTTATACTTACTGCCTACAAATAGAGTTTATTAGACATGTTTACTGGTATGAGAGAGGGAGCACACGCAATCTGTCTGATTGACTTTTTCATTTGATTTTGTTCATCCGTCTCTATACCAGGTTTCCTCCACTAGCGGCTTCGGCCGCGTGCTCCTGTACATATAAATCTTTTGCTTAAATCACTCTGTATATTGACGAAAACCGTATTAAAATCCGTGGTGTAGTTTAAAAGATCTCAGCGTGAAGCGACTTTGTTTCATGATATGTATGTATAGATTGCTATTGAATTTGTTTACAACAAAGCTGCATCTGTCCACGTGTCACAGCCGATCAACTCGGAAGTACTTTACCGATTGAGTATGTCTGTAAGTCACTTTCTTCTTGCTACAGTATGTTGATTTCAAAGTTTGTTTTTTTATCAATCAAGGAATTAACTTATTAACGAACCCGTGAGCGACCGACTATAACTTGTGTAATGATATTCTTTCGTAACTTACTTTATAATATACACCGAAAATTCGGCTAATTTCCAAAAATATATTGAAACTATCTTTCACCCGCGACAGCATATATTTTATACTATAATATCGTATCCATCTAGTATAATAAAAAAAGCAAAGATTTAATTTCTTATTACATTTTATTTTAAAACTCAGTACTCTATTATCAATACTTCAAGATTTAAAATGAAATTGAAAAAGTTGACAGTTTTTATAGCCTGATGTGCTGTTAACTGTACTGCAAAATATTATCCATGTTGGCAGCACTTTACACTTTATAAATAGAAGTTATACAATGAAAAGTTAACGTGATTTTTTAAATAAATAAATCCACAATTAGGTTCTAATAAAAAATTCCGAGTAACTTAGTCGCGTAGTAAATAAGCGCCGCGGCCAGCGGTCGTAGTCTTTATCATATCCTGCGACATATTAATAAAATTATAGAAATAACCTTTGCTGCTACTCCTTCGCACTGCACTCCTACATTTAGCTCACTAAACTTAATCAAGTAATTGTTTTCCGTTACTTAGTCAAACTACTTTCTTTAATTTGTTGTATAACCTAAAAATTAAAATAAATAATGTATCACAAAAACAAAGCGACATTAGCGCCTCTTACTGACCTTACGTAACTATTTTACGATATGATATAACACTTTCTCTTGGTCACATCATGAAGAAATCATACCATCAGCCACCCATAGCATTAAACGCATATCATTAATTGATCTGGTCAGGCCACATCATGATTGGAACAGCAAAATTTTTCCATTTCATGAAATGGCTGGCCACATTATGAATTAGGCAATTCTACGATCTGGCCACGATATATACGAGTATACTTGGAAACCTTTTTAATCTTAGCTTGGAGCAACATTTTAATGTTTTTAATTTAAACACAAATTTCTTTGATCAAAATAAAGCGTGATTTAGAATTTTAGGTCAATTTTCTAGGCAAAAAACACCTGTGATTAAGAATTAATTTAACGCATCTAGTGTAGTTTATATACATGAAGAAGAAGAAGAAGAAACATTTATTGACCTCACAAAGACACAAACAAGATAATACATTATTAGGAACACATAAAGCACAATAAAAATACGAAAGAAACAATAAGGTACATATATATATATATTTACATTTTCTTTCGTAAACAAAATTACTTGAGTTTGAACAGTTTTATCTATTACAATTTCAATAAAGTAGGATATTTACTCAAATACCAATTTATTTTACAAATAATATTACGTCAATTTATTACGATGACAAATCAGATTGTAAACAATGGTTGCTATGGTAACATTTTGATTCCCTCTAAAATCTTTCACTCCCATGTTATCCCTTTAAGTGCTAGTTTTCGGGATAAAATATAGCCTATTACCTTCCTAGAATCATAAACTACCCAAATCCGTTCTTAGTAACCTTTACGTATTAATAGAATTGTTTCCTCAAAATTTCAAGTTTCTAGGACCAGCAGTTTAGGCTGAGCGTTGTCTGTAGATTATAGTCATCGGAAATTCTCCGAAATATGTAATTCGTTTCCACTCAGCATAACTCAGCCTGACAGCGCATGCCTTAAGGTCATTACTATGATAAATTGTACGTACTTACTCATATAACGACATAGTTATACTAAATTAGCATTGGTGGGATATTAAACCTTAGAACGATGGTGCTCCGTGTTCCAATTTCATCGCCACAAATGTAAGTACACATTTTGATTTTCCGCTAACATCAAACACAATGTACTGTATATTTTTGAATTCTAAATTTGCGTTATATAGTTAGAGCTTTAATAATAACTGGTGTCTTTAATAAGTATCACTGATGGGTGGAGCTTCGACTCCAAAAACCAATATTAAATTGCTCGATTATGTTATACTAAATTACGAAGCCACCGATTCATTATCCTTCATCTAAAATTATGCTCTTTTTTAGGCATAAATTAGTAGTTTAAAGCTTTAGAAGATAGATACATAGTTGTGATGGTTTTCATTAAATTTTTTTTTTTATTTTATTTGTTGATATTTTTTTATTTCAGTTTTTAAATACACGTTGTACTGAAAACAACCGTAGCAGTGATGGCATTTATTATTGGCATTTGCGTTCACAGTTTAGGTAATAAAATACTTTAATTTTACCCACAAAATCAACTACAAAACAATTTGCAAACTATGAAAAAGCTTTTAAGGATAACAGGATAAAATGACATCAAAAATTCTGTCAAGTATTTATCTTTTAAATCGCCGTCTTATATAACGTGAACTGCCACTGTGAATGCAAGTAGGTTTCGATCAAAAATCCCCATATTTTTTTGTAAACTGTCGATCGTTCGCGAAGTGGTGGTGGTTCACCGGCCGTAATTATAGGGTACTGGTATTGTGCTCGCGCTTGCGACGGGTCTGTCTGCTTTTTGGGTTTTTTTCTTTCTGAATCTGCTATTATAAACGGGTTTGATCAATAGATTATTTGGAGCTTGTTTATTTAATCGTTATTAATTCTTTTCATAAGTTTTTTAACAAACCGAAATTGGGTACACGATTAGAAGGGATACTTAATTTTTTTTTGCAAACATGTCTATTTTATATTTTATTCAAGAGATAATTGTGACAATAATACTACTATTTACTGCACTAAAATCCTTATTTAAATCGATAGATATAATAATTTTGGCTCGAAATTTGGCTTTAATATTTGTGACATCTTTAGATTTGTTATAAAAAGCAATAAAGCAGTGGATATTCATTCGAGAGAGGCTTTTCTAAACATAAACGTTAGATTAAGTGTAGAGATAATTTGTACAACAATAGTGACTCGTTAGGGTGCGTGTACAGCCCACGATAATGTTCCATAGATAGCGGGTAATCTGCGTGAAACCCGCCGCC